CTGAGGAAAGTAGATTTACAACACAATTGAGTATACGATAGTAACGCTGTGTAAGGCAACAGTAGGCCTCTTATAGGCTATAATCGGTCTCAAACACTATCGCTTTAAGTGCGAGAAACACATGTACTGTTGGAGGGCGTTTGAGAGCGTTTGGTCAGAGCTGTTGAAGAAGGATCAAAGCGGCAATCCAAATCTTTGAAAGGCTCCAAACTACGACGTACATCAACTTTAACCTTCTCGAAAACGATGCATGATGCGACTATGAGTATGAATACTCAAGACGAGATTCTAGTCCATCGCAGGTTACTCTTACCTCTCTTCCCTCTTCCCAGCGTTTTTTCAGTCTTCATTCCCCTGAGTGAAGCATGACTCAGAGAAGATGATAGAATCGCAATCAACCGCGATTTTTACTACAGTTCAGATTCGTATATACTTACAAGATATTTACTATCAAGGAGACTCCTGATCTCCCGGAAATTTTTGTCCGTGCATTGTGGTTTTTCATTTCTGCCATCTTACCATTCCATCCATGGAGTCGCCCAAAGAATTTTATCTCAAAAGCACGCATCTTCTGTTCACATTGAAGGTGATGGAGGGCTCAAATGATTTAAAGAATTACCTATCACGGTTCGTGTGATCACGTGTTCTTGAAAAAACGTCAATCAAGTGCCAGGGGTTTCAACGTCGTCTTCAAAGCTTGTCTTTGGCAATAGCTGGTCTCGAGGAAGGAAGAAAACGAGAATCAGCGTATAAAATGGGAATGACGAGAGGCCATTCTGTCGCTGCCATTTCTATTGGTATTCTGCAGTTGTGTTTTTCCGTTGCTTTGATCATTCCCTCTTTCGTTCTTTCGAGCTATGGCCACGGCGTCAACACATCCTCAACGCCATATTGGTGTGGGTTCCCGGTGAGTGTGAAAAGATTTCGTTTCGTTTACGTGCAAATCTGTGGTGTAGTTAAAGGGTTTTCGAAATTGATTTCTGTTCTGGAAAGAGTTTTAGATGTCAGTGAAACCTGTAAATTAATTTATTTCCTCGAAACCTTCGGTTTAACCTGCGATTTCATTTTTTCCGGGTGACATTTGAGGATACGCATCTGCCGAGCGCCCCTTAGGAACTGAGTTGTTAAAGTTTCTCACGCAAGAAGCTTCCATGGAAAGCCATTTTAGAGCGTCGAGAGACCATGACGGACATTGCAACTTAGAGCTATCATGTCTTCGAGGCAATAGGCACTTAGTCATTTGCACCCCTTTGGCTAACCAGAAAGTGTTGAAACGTCTGAAGCTATTTTTCCACCGTAGTGCTAATGCCGTCGATAATACCTTTGTAATCAAGTGGAGCTACGCCTTTTATTTCGATGATTAATGTCGCCGTTGTCCCCTAATATGTGGATCTCATCCTCATCGCTAGTGTTAAATATCAAGTCTTTTTTCAATTGATCTCTAAATAGCTAGAATTGTTTTCTATGCGTGTTTAAAATGTCGGGAAGAGGATGACGTTTCTTGCGGATTGAACATGCAAATAGTCTCCATGAAACGTTTCGTGTTCAGAATAAATGTGTAATACACACAGTGATCACATGATCCATAGACTTTATACTACCAGAGTTGCTGTGCACATTCAAAATCTATATGTGAAGAAAACCATTTTGATCAAAATTACCATATGCACTTTGAATACGTTTCAACTTAAATTAATTCAGACTTTGCTTATCTTTTATTTTGAATTATTTATGAATGACGAGAAATAAATCAGGATCATTGGCCAAGTGCATGTCACCTGAATCCCCTAGAAGGAGGACATGAAAATGGAATATGAGTCTAACTCTGCAAAAAGTGGAAGATTTGTTGTTCTTTGTTACACTCAATTTTCCCATTGACACCTGAAGCGCCCGTGCTGCGCGGTGGACTCGCGCGAGAGACGCTTTCCCCCTACCTCCCCCACTAAGCAGAATTTTGTCTCCAAACTTTCTCTGTTGTTTGAGGATCTATAAACTTATCAGAATCCGTGTTTTGCGCAGTTATTTTGATGACTCTATGGGGTACTAGAAAGGCGTCATTTTATGCGTTCACAAGATGGAAAAAATGGCGTCCTCACGAACGACTTTCAATATTTTCAAGTCGGATTTTCCGTTTCTTTCCGATCACTTTAGACCTTCTGGAACAGAAAGAAAAAGTAAAAATGTTACAGAATAATCTTCTTGGAAGATAATGGATATCAAAGTCTTAAGAGCGACAAATCAAACTTTCGAGCCGACAACACCACGATTCTCTGAAGCGATGCGAATTGGGGCCGTAAAGTGAAAACCGAACTTTCAGACTTCAAGTGAGGCCTAGCGACATTATGAAGATTCCAAGGCCCGGTAAATATCATGTGTGAGTAATGAGATGTCCAAAAAGTATTGTTTAATAGATGATTTGTGTCAAAACGTAGAACTTTCAGAATTTTCAACATAAAGCTGCGCAATTTACCAGCCGTGAAGTCAAATAAACAATGATCTACGGAGATTAATTCTTCCTCGTGGGTTTCGTACACGTAAGAAATTCGCACGTTTTTTTCGCTACTAACAGATAATCAAGGACCGTTTTGAATAAAACCATCCTCCGGAAACGTTCCTCGGTCAGTTTCGTCTTGCTTTTTATTTTTAAATTCCACAAAACATGAGGTCTCTCTACACACTGATAAATTTGCATATTCACTTTGAAATCCGATTCGCACACCTGTTTACACACGTCTTTTGTCTTGATTTTAGAGTAAAAACTCAATATACATCTATTGTCTTCTTCGTTGAAAGTAAGTTATTAAATGGCCTTCTTTCACTGGAGCTTGTGTTTGGGAAAAGATGATTCATATAAAAATTTACCATGCATTGTGTTTGCTTCTCCGGTTTCTCCGCGTGCCTATCCAAAAGTTAACATTTTGAAAATGTTAACTTTTGGATAGGCACGCGTTAGGTCCGTTTAAATAGTTTCAACATTTGCTTCAACATGCATTCAACACTTTATTGAACGAAATGTTTGGTGCGTTTGAACAGGTCGTCCAA